TACAATCACAATTGGGGGGGATTTTATTTATTGCAATTTAATTAAATAATTACGTAAATATCACAGTTTGGTAAATATTTATTCATCTATTGCTCACTGTGACGTCCCTTTTGGGCGTCACATGTGACGCCCCACTGGGGCGTCTCTCATGAGAGGAAGACGCCCAAATGTGGCGTCTCTCATGAGGTGGTGACACGTGTCACTTGTTTTTCCAAAAAAAAAATTAATTTAATCATAAATTTTCTAAAGACTATAACTTTTGACTCGAGTATCTAAATCAGGTAATTCTTTTTTTGATTCAACATAACTTTTTGAGATCTACGCAATGACATCTCATTTGACATATTTTATTTCTCACAAATACAATTTTAATTTGCAAGAATGATATTATAAGATCGGTTAAATCCAGAAGCCTCTGAGTTCTGGATTTGTGATTTAATATAAAAAAATAAATAAAAATTTTGATCTGTGATTTAAATTTTTTTTATAATAATTTTCTTTATTATAACAAAATTTTGGTTTGTGATTTAAATTCAAAATAAAAAAATTTATTATTAATAAGGAAAATAAAATAAAGATTTGATTTGTGATTTAAACTAAAAAATCAATTTGAAAAATCTGTAGAAATAAAGAAAATAATTAAATAAATATTCTAAATTTCTAAGGAAGAAGGATATTATTTTTAAAATTAATGATTAATGCTATAAGCTTCTGCGTTATTATTCGTGGTCTGAAATTAATGATGGCTTATGAATGTTTTTCAAAAATAAAATTACCTAAATTAGGCGTGATTTCCTCTTGATTGAAACCCAATTTAGACGTGATTGGTGATGGGTTAAGTTTTGACAAGTGTTGACTCGTGTCACATTTTTAAACTCAGAAGCCTCTGAGTTCTGCGTTTGTGATTTAATACAAGAAATAAATCAAGATTTGATGTGTGATTTAAATTAAATTTTTATTATTATTTTTATTATAAAAAAATTTGGTTTGTGATTTAAATTAAAAGTAACAATTATTATTAATAAGGAAAACAAAATAAAGATTTGATTTGTGATTTAAACTCAAAAATCAATTTGAAAAATTTGTATTAATAAAGGAAATAATTAAATAAATATTCTAAATATCTAAGTAAGAAGGATTACCTGATTTAAATTTAAATTATGTTGGTGAGAAATAAAATATATCAAATGAGATGTCATTGCGTAGATCTCAAAAAGTTATGTGGAATCAAAAAAAGAATTACCTAATTTGGATACTCGAGTTAAAAGTTATGGCCTTTAGAAGTTTTATGATTAAATTAAATTTTTTTTTTAAAAACAAGTGACACGTGTCACCACCCCAGAGAGACGTCCCATTTGGGCTTCTTCCCCTCACGAGAGACGCCCCAGTGGGGCGTCACAATGTGCAATAGATACGTAAATATTTTTCAAACTATGATATTTGCGTAATTATTTAATTAAATTGCAATAAATAAATTTTTTTGCCCACAATTGGGTTTTATCATTTTATGTTTTATCCCTAAAAAAATAAAATTGGGTTTTTTGTTACAGCTTTTAGTTGCATTTGGAATTGGGTACACTGCCCATGTAAACGTGAAGTACATATGCCGAAACTATAAAATGAATGGAAAATAGTTGTGGCAATTCAAGGGCCATCATTCAATACTGTTTTTAAAAACAGTTTTTTAATTTTCAGAATAAAACTTGCTTCATAATTCTTGTTTTGTTAAATTAATTCTTAAAAGTATAATTTTTTTAGTTTTTAGAATTAAATTTAAAGAATATATTTAAACTATTTCTATTTTTTAACTTTTAAAATAATAAAATACAAAAAAATACTCATCTTATTGACTATTCTGCAAAATAATTTTAAGAAAAAAATAACAAAATACAATCAAATATACCGATCTGTCTTTCTCTCCTTTTTTTCTATCTCACTCCTTCCTTACAATCTGTGTTTGGGTGTGTGTGTGAAACATGCATGAAGTTTATTTGTTCATATTCCTTTATCTTTCAATGAGATTATCTTTGACATTGTAATAAAGTTTCCTCAATTAAATAATTAGAAGTCGTTATCAAAAAAATAATAATAATAATTAGAAGTCCAACTCAAATTTAACTTTAGCACGACATTTTCATTTTTCACATTTTAAATCCAAAACGTGTTTAAGATTAGTCCTTGAAGAAATTTCCTAAACTGATCAATTCAAAAGTTTATCTATGTTCGAAAGTCAGTTTGTTTACAGCATGGGCAATTATTAAAACATTTTATTTTAGGACTTAATGTTTTCTACAGTGACCGCAGATAAATTATCTACATTCATTCTTAAAATGATATCGTGAGTTGAAAGATTAAAAAATTATAATAACTTTGAAATAATTATAATTATAAAAATACCTTAAATTTTGTTCCAAAACAACATTATTTTGCACTCAATGCAGATAATTTATCCGCATTGCAGAAAAAATAAATTTTTTATTTTAATATTAAAAAAGTAATCCAAACTTTTGCCCATTCTGATATGGACTCTGTGCTTATTTTATTATAGACAATTTTTTTTTTTTTTATAAATGGATATCCAAGAATATGAAACTGACGTGTATTCCGCCAGTCTAGAAAATCAAAATTAGTCATTGAATGTATAATTTTCATGGAAAGACACGTATTGAAGATGATAACACATTTGTTTTTAGGGGTTACATTTTCTCATATAACATGAGAGCAGCTTTTCTCCTACACACAAACAAGTGAGCCCACTAGTTTAAATAAAAAAAAATGAAAGAAAGTATTAATACAAAAATCGAGCTCTCACTAACATGAGAGATCACTATTCCTACAACAGATTTATTAATCCCTTGTTTTTATTACCATTATTTAATTGCATCAAGGGTCCTCACGATTTCGGGTTGCCACATATGACTGACATAGGTAAGCTTAGCCTCTGACTTTGATTTGATTAATGCGTGTTTTTTTCAGTAGATAATGATGTGTCTTTCTTTTGCCAATCAAGATCAACCTTACCCCATGACTTCCTTATAAGTTTTAACTTTTTTTTTTTTTTTTAAGTATTAACTTTTAGATGAAGCTATCAATGTTTTTTTAGTTAGAAGTTACTTTCAAATTAAAGTTTAAAATAAGAGCTTAAAAGTTGAAGTTAAAACTTGTCTAATAATGTACCCCAAAAAAAAAAAAAAAACTTGTCTAATAATTACATAAAAAAATTTTACAGCTTTGAAGAGAGAGAAATGAAATACTTTTTTATTAGGGTAAATAATAAAATTTATAAATAAAAATTTAAAATAATGATATAATTGAAAAATAAATGTGAGAATTCTAAAAATGTGATACATATCTAAAAAAGTTTGTCCTTAAAACTTTTAATTTTTAACTTTATAAAAAAAGCATTGATTTTTTTCTTCGTTATAAAAAATAAAAGAGAATGTATGAATAAAATAAACTGGCACGAAGGCTAAGCATGTTGGAACACCGATCAAAATGTCATTCTTCACTAACTTTTTTACTTAAATGCCACGCGAACAGTGTTATTTCTCAATCTGCCACGGGGGCAAGTTCGTTAACCGGTGTAGCGAACTCGGTTTGCTGACGTGTCACATTTCTAGTGGATAACAAGTACCAAGTTCAAAAAAAAAAAAAAGTGTGAAGTTCGCTACCCCGTGTAGCGAACTTGGTGTCCACTAGAAACGTGACACGTCAGCAAACCAAGTTCCCTACACCGGATAGCGAACTTCCCCGTGGCAGATTGGAAAATAACACTGTTCGCGTGGCAGTTAGGTAAAAAAGTTGGTGAACAGTGACATTTTGGTCAATGTTCCAAGCATGTTCCCTTCTGTACTACCTAGTGTTGCTCAGACTAATTTTCATTTTAATTTGCTTTTTATATTATTCCCCGAAACAGTTTCAAAGTTATTAGATTTAGAGCAAATTGAATTGTCTGCAGTTAAAAAAATTGTAAAAAAACAAAATTTACAAGATCCTTACAATATAAAATGTCATAACTGTTTGCTCACCAAAAAAAAATATGTCATAACTATTTTTAACTACTATATACGTTAGAATGGTATTTGAGAGTCTTTCATCGCAATTCAAAATCGAAACCTTTCAAAGTATATTAGCGCCCGCGACAGCCTCTTCAATTTCACCAACTATAGGTTGGGCAGGGCACGTTCAACAAAATATTCTTTGGCAAGAAGTAATGCTCAAAATATGCCACAGAAAATGTATTGTCTAAATGCACAATTGCTGTTCCTGATAGACACATAACTTGCATTAATTGAACCAGGAAATGCATTAGACAGAATTGAATTCAAGACTAATCATCATAAAAATCTTAAGAGGCAACTGGTTGATTAATTTACACTTAGATTGAAGGGACACAAAAAACCATGCCTTGCAAATGCAACTAAATGCAGCAATATCTGGAAAATTATATGGTTTCATAAGAGTTATGTTGTAGGAAGAGTGATTCTGTAATGTTATAGAAATTCGTTTTGCGTGCCGTAATTTCTTTTTTTTCTTTTTTCTTCAAAAAGTGTGGGCCCACAAAATATTTTGTGTGTAGGAAAATTTGTTGTGTCATGTTAAATTTACAAATGCAAACTCCAAATTATATTTAGCCTATGTAAATTGGAGGACGTCTTTATTTCTTCCTTTCTTCAAACTATTTCTCAAGTCTAAACTATTTTTTGACTTTGATCCACATGGTGTTTCACATTTCTGTACCTTATACATGGTGTCTATCCTATGTCTACCAAACTTTTACTAAAATATTGTTGACATTGACTCCACCTGTTACTTATGTGTATCACCTTTGCTGGCACAACTAAAAGACAGATGAACCTGTCTTTTACTTTTCTTCTCCATGATAGTTATATATACTCTTAATAACAGCAATACTTGAACAAGATCTATTTTCTGCATTTCTGTATCTCTTTCTCGAAGACTGATTTTTGTGTTAGTCCTTGGGTTGCCTAAGGGGAATAATGAATGCACTAGCAGCCACCACTAGGAACTTTAAGTTGGCATCTAGGCTTCTGGGATTAGATTCCAAGCTTGAGCAAAGTTTGCTGATTCCATTCAGGGAAATCAAGGCAAGTGAAAACTGTAAAACTATCTTGTGCTTACTTTGTCTTTGTTTTGGCATATAACCCTTCCCTAAAGACAATGGCACCTCGGCAACTTGTGTTGGATTCAGAGTTCAACATGATTTGTGTCACATCGTTCATCAACAACTCCAGTTCTAAATATTGTTCATTGAAAATGCAGGTTGAGTGTACCATCCCTAAAGATGATGGCACCTTGGCAACTTTTGTTGGATTCAGAGTTCAACATGATAATGCCAGAGGCCCTATGAAAGGAGGGATCAGATACCATCCTGAGGTTACTTATAGTCTGACTTTCAATAATAAAAATTTTTTCCCCTAATATCTTAATCTTCTGAGTTGAATTTGTTCTTTACATATCAGAGCTACATGATCCAAGGGGGTCTAGAGTCTAATTAATTTTTTTTTTTTTTAATTTTCATCTTTCAAACCCTAAAAAAGGGCTGTTGGTGTGGTGGGCCAGTATAAATTGTCATGTTTCAAACCCAAAAAAGGGCTTTTGGTGTGGCAGATGTATAAATTTGTAAATTGTTCACACTTGAATCCTATGAGTGTTCAGCAATGGCCGCAACAAGAAATTCCGACACCACACTTCAACCTAGAACCTTAAGGCATCGGATTTATGGGTTCTTTCAATTATATGTACCATGTTTAGCCCATTCCATCTAGATACAGGACTTTTCATTACTCACACTAGATATAGGACTTTTCATTACTCACACTCAAATTTCCAACAATAAGACTCTTGGCTTCAATCCTATAAAATAATAGAATTTATAAACCAACTCCTCTAAATTGAAAACACAAAGTAGCTATTAGATTTTTCTCAACAATAATGTTTTGTTTTCTTCCCCTTATATTATTGGTACAACTTGGCCTGAAATATTAAAGGCACATAATGTAACAAAAGCAGCCACTTGATAGATAAAATGGAATTGGCCCAAAAACTGTTAGTATGATTCGAGTAATTTCTTTTTCAAGATTATGTTTATTGCTTTCATGATTATATATCTGCTTTTCTGGGAATTATTCTGTGTAATTTTGATTCTCAGTTCTCACTCAGTGATGTATTGGTTTGAGTAGGTCGAAACAAATGAAGTGAATGCTTTAGCACAACTAATGACATGGAAGACTGCAGTAGCAAATATACCATATGGTGGTGCTAAAGGAGGAATAGGGTGTGACCCCTCAAAGTTAAGTGTGTCTGAGGTAGAAAGACTCACTAGAGTTTTCACCCAAAAAATTCACGATCTGATTGGAATTCAAATAGATGTTCCAGCACCTGATATGGGAACAGGACCACAGGTCAGTACAAAGATTAAGTTTTGTGACTTTACTGCATTTGTTAAAAGATTATGCTTGTGAGTGTCCAAGAAATTATTATATTATGGTATTTTTATATTGGCAAAATAATTTCTGCAGCTGCTGTACCTACAGCAAGCAAGGATCCGCGTCCGAATCCTAGGATACGGCAACGGATCCTGAAAAACACTCAGGATCCGTTGCCGTATCCTAGGATCCGGACGCGGATCCTTGCTGCTGTAGGGCAGCTGCAGAAATATTAAGCCCTTTTATATTAGACTTAAATATTAACTAAACTCACTATCTCACTAATTGGTTTTGAATGCAGACTATGGCATGGATACTAGATGAGTATTCCAAATTTCATGGTTACTCTCCTGCAGTAGTGACTGGGAAACCTATAGTAAGTAAAATAAAGTTGTTTGAGTTTGTCATTTTAATAAACCAATTCCCATTTCTAATTTTTCATTTTCAAACAAGGATCTTGGTGGATCTCTAGGTAGAGATGCAGCTACAGGAAGAGGAGTCCTCTTTGCAACAGAGGCTTTGCTTAATGAGCATGGGAAGAGTGTATCCGGACAACGATTTATCATACAGGTAATTGTTTTTCTATATTAATCCAATTGATCTCTTAGCTAGTCTAAATAGCATTCATTATATGTTATTATCTAGTTCTAGATAATGTTCACAATAATGATTAGTGAAGATGCAATGATTAAAGGAAAAAGTTGGTAAAGGGTAAAAATTCACCCAAAAAAATAAACACTTCATCAGTTCATGGAATTAGTATTCTCATTAACTTTTTGAAATAAAATCATGTTATCATGTTGTTTATCTCTTCAGGGCTTTGGAAATGTGGGGTCTTGGGCTGCTCAATTAATAAGTGAAAAAGGTGGAAAAATTGTTGCTGTGAGTGACATAACAGGAGCTATAAAGAATAGCAATGGTCTTGACATTCCAAGCCTACTCATACATTCCAAAGAGCACCAAGGAGTAAAAGGGTTTCATGGTGGTGACCCAATTGACCCCAAGTCAATATTAGTTGAAGACTGTGATGTTCTTATACCAGCAGCTCTTGGGGGAGTCATCAATAGGTGCTTTTAATGACTCTTATGTGTTTAATTAACTACACAGACCATTTTATTATCATCACACCTTACCTGAAAGCAAACATTAAACTATACTATACATTTTTTTCTTTATTACTTCAGTACCTTTCTGATTGTTGAGATATATAAAATCATTAATGTAGCCTCACCCATTAGCTTAAGCTTTTGGGTTGAATTGGTTCTTTACATGGTATCACAGCCTCGTGTCCCGGGTTCGATCCTCACCGTCCCCCACTTTCTCTTGTAGAATTTCTTAGCATAAGTAGGTGGGCCTGTGCATTGTCCACCCTTCAAGCCCAGTGAACTCTCGTGTGAAGGGACGTGTTGAGATATATAAAATTATTAATGTAGCATCATCTATTAGCTTAAGCTTTTGGGTTGAATTGGTTCTTTACCATGACAAAGCTGCTATAGCCAATTGATTATTGCATAGATCTATTGCATGCACCCGTCAAGCATCCTGAAGAAGAAAATATTTTCAGTTCTTTCATTAGTGCACTGAAGACTAAGTACATCACTTACTAAAGACAGAAAAATTAATTTATCTAATTGCATTTATTCTACCCACTCCTTTAAGTATACTATCATAGGAATACTAAAGATATGCTCCCTATGATAAACATAAGTCTAAACCTTTATTTTTCCCAAATTTTGCTATGGTTGAAGGGATAATGCAAATGAGATTAAAGCCAAATTTATCGTTGAAGCAGCCAATCACCCAACTGTCCCGGAGGCTGATGAGGTTAAGCTTATATTCACTCTTTTTCTTCCCTTTATCAAACTAAAAGATACCAACGGAAAAAAAAATAAAATAAGAAGAAATTTAGTGTTCCTAACAACCACCCAATTTTGCAGATTCTGAAAAAGAAAGGGGTTGTTATCCTGCCAGATATTTTTGCAAATTCAGGAGGAGTTACAGTTAGCTACTTTGAATGGGTGCAGGTAACTATTTTTCATGAATAACTAACTGTATGATTTCACATGGATACAATATTACTCTAGTTCTACTAAATGTGGAAGTAAAAGGTTTGAAATTCAGTTAATCCACTTCATGTAACCATTATAACATTAAATGATGATATTTTAATACACAGAACATCCAAGGATTCATGTGGGATGAAGAGAAGGTGAACAATGAGCTAAAGACATACATGACCAAAGGTTTCAAAGATGTAAAGGACATGTGCAAAACTCATCATTGTGATCTTCGTATGGGAGCCTTCACACTTGCAGTTAACCGTGTTGCAAGGGCTACTGTCCTTAGGGGTTGGGAAGCTTGACATCATAATATTGCTGCTCCTTTGAATCATAGCTCAAGTCTCAGCCTCAGCAACAAATCTTGTATATGCCTCCCTTAATTTGATGGATATTTTTAGTCTTTTTCTCGTTCTTTCTTTTTTTTTTTTTTTTTATTTGGATGTGTCTTTTTCTCAAATGTATCATCTCTTTGTATTTTTACAAAGTAATCTTGGCTTAACCAACAATTGTCTATAAGAATACATGTTTAATTTTAGGTTCTTCCAATTATTTTTTAATTATGTATTCCCTTAAGCACATAATTAAAAGAAAACCAGCAATAATTTTTTAATTATATATTTTTGAAAATACATAATTAAAAAAATAACTTTAATATTATAATTATGTATTTTCGAAAATACATAATTAAAAAGTGATTGCAACAGTTGTTGCAAGATTTTCAATAGACTAGATTCTATGAAATCTCAAAATATACATAGAATCTAATATAACCAGTTGAAAGAGTTTAATTGCAAATGCATACACAAGTTAGAAAATTATGGGTGATTAGATGATGAATGCACAATGCTCAACAAGTCCTTTTCAAGTTGTTCAATTATCTACCAGCTCACCTTTATGTTCCTGACTTAGGAGACTGACACATACACAAGCATGACCCTGACACACAAACACGGCAAAATAATTTGATTCGCTCAAATACATTATGAAAGGTCGCATCGTGTTTGATAAAAAATGTTTGTGCTTCACATTTCAAGCTGAACAATTGACCACACTATGTTTGGCACAGGAGAAAAAAAATGTTATCAGAAAAAAAAATTTGCTTGGAATATGATGCGAAGAATTTTTTGTCCGATAAATTAAAAAAAAAATATTTGGTAGATCAAAATTTTTTCAAAAAAACTAGATGAATTTTACTGATGTTATATGTAAAAGTTTACTACTGTGAAGGAAATTTTTTTTTACACTCCATCGATGGCAAAATCCAGAGGATGGTCCATGTGTAAAAAAATTAGACGAATTTTTTTTGTCTAGACCCCTTTTAACTCTTCCTTCTACTAAACATGGATATGTATTTTTCCCTATCCTATTTTTCCGGTCAATTTTTTTCCCCTCTTACCAATCATCCAAAGGAGAATTGCTCTGAAATCGTGAATTATTCTCCACAAGCTTAACAATTAACAAGTTTATAGATGACACAATAACAGCTTTGCAAAAGTATATTTAAAAGAATAGAGTAAATGAACATGTAGCAAACAGAAAGTCATCACAGCATATGAAGAAGTTTACATAATATTCATGCCCTTTTTGAAAGAATAAAAACACATGAATTCTTACAATAGCCATGTGTGTGTACATGTATAAGAATTGATAAAAAAAAAATGATGGATTTAAGCTTGAAAGGATTAAAGAACGGGTGGAAGTTGAAGGAAAACTTTTTGTGGAACAACCAACACACAAGAACTAACAAAATTAAGATCACCCACCCTTGTTCCCAGAGAAAGCACCATGCCATACAACTTGCAAATCCCAAAGCAAGGTTATTTCCTATTTAATGTCGGTCTCAGCTATATATCAAACTACCACATCTGCCTGTCCATAATAAATCAATAACAAAACAAAAAATATATATTGATGTACGAGATACAATAAAACCTATAACATAGCACACATAACCATATAATTATTAACAATTGAAATTACATTAACTGTGCCATACTTTGAGGCAATGAAGTAAAAAGAGAACAACATACTTCGGTTGTGGAAGAAATCTCCTCGCAAGAGGCAACAATTGTTAGAATTTGTGTCTAAAATTCCATGGATTATGAATAAGAAGTAATTGAAGAAGAAGAGGAAAGGAGAAGATGAAAGGATGTGTGGGTAGAAGTCCCACATTGGACAAGTAAAGAGAGGTGGAAAGGTTTATAAGTCTCCAACTCACCTCTTAGTTTGCTCGTTAGGGGCACTCTACTTTTGTGGAAGAAAGAGGACGCAGGTGGGCAAGTAAATAGATGCTCCTAAGATGGAAGAAGGAGAACAATTTGTTAAGGAGAAGGTTGTTGTGGTTGATGCGCATGGAAGCATTGTAGCACTTGTCCCGCACACGCGCCAGTAGCCTGGGAGTGGCGGAGCACTTGACTTGGTTAGTGACGATCAAATCGTATCTGAAAAGAGACCTTCATTGAAAATTTGGGTAACTAGAATGGAACTACCTAAATTGAGCAATATAGAAAATTTCTTCTTTTTTTCCTTCATGACTTCTTCTTCTTTTTATTTCTTTGTTTTGTTTAAATCAGCTATATCTGACTAAGTTTCTTTTATAGTTAGGGATATGGATTCGACGTGAATCCTTATGTTGGGTTTTAATTTGTTTTATTAATCAATTGTCTCTAGTTGTTTGTGTTCTATCTCAAATTTAATATCAAAATTCTTTTATGAATTGATCACTCATATAGGAATAAAAAGAATTAGGATTCAAAATAGATATATTGTAATTTTAATCTTGACATGGATAGAACACCAATTGTTACCTGATCTAGATATAGGCTTGTAAAAATTACGAACTCAGTAATTTATCATATTTAAGGCTTAATCTAAAAGGAATTTCTAAGGCATTAGGGTTCCAATTGGATCAAAGGGTTAAAGCTCTAAGAATTAGGATTTAACCAATTAAATTTTAAATGATGAATTGATCGAATTAATTAAGGAAAGATATTAATAAATTGAATTAATTCAACTAAGGAGGATCGGAGGTAAAGTAAAACCCCAGCTACAGTCTTGTCTTTACATTCTCAAATCTAGTTTTTAGTTTTTTACATTCTTTGCTGAGATTACTTTTAATTGCAATTGTCTTTATTTTTCTATTAGTAAAAATTACTCTTCCAAATAAATTGATCTATCCAAATTAAAGGGAATAGTGAGAATAGTGATTAGTGCATTTAATCCTCGTGGGAACGATAACTCTACTCATTACTCTATTACTTGTACGACTGGTATATTTATCGTTATCGCAACAGATGTTCTTGGATGTGCCCATGGATTGTGATTGATGTATGTTGTACTATGCTTATATTACTGTTTGTTATGGACCCATAAAATGGGTCCATTAAGTGGTAAGCCCAACCAGAAGCAATCTAAGATACGGATTGATATTAACAAAGGATATATATCCATCAAGGATACTAATCCTAATACGATGGCATAGCAAACAGGCCTAGGCCCTCATTAGAGGTACCAAAGGCCCATCCAGACTACCCACAGGTAACCTCTATAAATACAAGGTAAACCTTAAAGGTACGTTACGCTCTCTCTCTTACTGTTATACTGTCACTATGCACACACACACATCTCATTGGCTAACGTTGTTATAGTATTCTGTGCACAGTGATCTGCTTGACTCAAAGGTATCTCATTCATAGATACCTTGGAGAGGGCACTAGATCCAAGATCGACATACCAGCCTACTAAGCTGGACATCTCTGTCTTAAGAACATAACACTGTTTATGCATATTGAGTGAACCATTAGGTGGAGTGATCCTCCAAGACCCTTGATTTACTAAGATTTGTAATCTCATCCCATGTTTGGGGGACCACATTGTAGGTACCACCGAGCATGCTGGAGGATCCTAGGGCAAGAAGCTCGAGTAGGGTTATGGACCTTGGATGTTTTGGATGCCATGATGCATATTTTGGTTTTGGTGTATTTTGATGTATATTGGACTTAGTGCATCAACATTATGATGTTGCATGATTTGACGTATGCCATAGTTAGGGTATTGTTCATATATTACTTTGTCTAAGTCAAATGGTTATGGATTATTGGTCATTTGTATTTTGGTAATTTATGTAATTATTGTAAAGTTTATGTCACCTATGTATTTGGTAGTTGGATAATTATTGTAACTCTATGGATACTACCTTGGAGAAATTTGGACATGTAATTATGAATGTGATGGAAGGGTTTAGGCCTATTGATAGCTTGTGGACTAAGAAAGGATTTTAAATTGATAATTGTTGTTGGATGTAAGTGCATCAAGGTTTTTTAGGTCTTTGGATGTCATTCTATGTTTTTTAGGTACAAGGTAAAAGAAATGACATTAGTTGAGAATTGATAACACATATTTTGTTACACTTATTTGTTACTCTTGATTAGTATTTTTAGGATTTATTTGAATAAAATAATGATTGTTAGAGTTAATTTAGGTTTTTAGTTTTTAATTGGGTTTAATTTATTTTCGTCAGAATTTTTCAGCTTTACGTTACTTCTGTATTTTGGCCATATCTCGGTCCATAGTTGTCGGATTGACTCTGTTCTTGTTGGGTTTTTCAGATAACACAGAGAGCTACAATTCTTATGCAGAGCTCTAAGCCCAATTCGGACTAGAAGCTGGTCGATTTCGGACACCAAGTTGGACGCGTTTTGCTGAAGTTTTGTTTGACTATTGGGCTTGTAATTTAAATTAAAACCCAATTACTTAAGTGGCCCAAAGCCAAGTTTTATTGTTTCATTTTATTTTATTCGGTTTTTTATTTTATGTTTGGGCTGAAGCAATGAAACCCTAGCCGTCCTGCGTGACGGCTATTTAAAGGGGACTCTAGGAAACCCTTGGGAGTCAGTTTTTACAACAGAGAAGTTCTCTCTGAGTTTTTATTCAATTGCGTTCTTCATCTTTTTTCTTCTTCTTCTTCTTTTCATTTCAATTATGTTTACCTTAGCCATGCGAGGCTAAGAACCTTTTAATCAACCTAAGGGTAATGGATTTCATGGATTGGTCTTGAGGATCTGCGTTTATTTCAAATCAGTTTTGTTTCCCTTCCCAACTCAGATTGATATCGTGCGATCGTGAATATTCAATCTGAGGTTCGCGATTGCGATTATGGAAAGGGATTAATCATTAGATTTGATGATTAGGTTGATTGACCCTATGACCTTAAATCAAGCGGGCTGATACTCTGCGATTGTATGAGTAGAAGCATCGTCTTTGATCAAATGCTAAACGATCGCTTAGAGAGGGTTGTCAATTG